GGCTTCGCAACTGGACCATGTTAGCTCGGTCAGAAATGACTGCAATTAGCTCGGTCTAAGTATTCTAAACCGAGGTATGGACTACGAGTAACTCGATCCCATGTTTTCTGAGTTCCAAGCTTGGCATAGATATTTTGGACCGAGCTACCTAAGCAAATGGGCTTAGTGGTTGGCAGAGGTGTTTGTGAGAAGGGAGGTCGGGCTTGGTATAGCTCGGTCGAACGCCATGTGCATCATTAGTTAATTGAGTGTATGACTGAGTTAATATAGATCGGTTAGGTTGGAGCAGCTTAGACAAAGGAGGTAACCATCTTACTTGATTGATGGAAGGTATAGTGTTATTATGGTAGACACTCTTCATCGAGCTTAAGACTTCTAGGAGGGCTCTGCTAAGGCGAGTAGAGTCCTACTAGGATTATGAAAACCATCTCACTTGGTTAGTAGTGAGTAGGGTGTGTGATTCTTAGAAGGACTATTGGAATCCTAGTAGGATTGCGCCAGACGGAATCTATAAAGGCTCGTAGCAGGACCTATGCACAGGTATCACAATTTTGACTCTCAAATACACAAAGCTTTTGTCTATTGTCTATTCGCTGATTTAGGCATCAGAGAGGTATCTGGCACGCACCCGCCGGCTAGCTCACGTTTGTGTTTTCAAGGAGTAAAGCAATGACGTTTGGAGGAGTGCAAACTTGATCAACAGGATTATACGAAAAGATTATTTCGTGCTCGTACAACGGGTATATATACGGCGCGGCCTTTGGTTTGTCACCTCACCTTGACGTCCCAATTCGGTACACTAACGACACACCGAAGTACACTGCTCCGGCGACTGTGTACACTACGGCTCAGACCATGGGAAAGGACCCACATATAAACTTGCAGTACAATTTGATTTGGATCTTCACCGTTGATTCTGGGTTCTGGTACCTGGCTACGCTTCATTTTTGTGAGTTTCAACTAGAGGTAACCACAGAAAATGACAGGATATTTTCTGTGCATATGAATAATCAGACGGCTGATCAAGAGGTTGATGTTATACACTTGAGTGGGGGTCACAGAATTCCTATTTTCAAAGATTATGTTCTTTCAGTACCAGCCGTCGATGGTCTCCAGAGTAAGGTGGATTTGTGGCTCACGATGCACCCGAATATGCACTCCAAGCCCAGTTATGCTAATGCAATCTTGAACGATTTAGAGATCTTCAAATTGAATCAATCGGACGATAGTCTCGCCGGGCCCAATCCTGTATACGATATGGTTCCTGCACCGCCGACACCGTATCCAAAGCTACCGGGCAAACAGAATAGTAAAACGTTGTCGTCGTTGGTCGTCGCCGTCGCCGAAGGTGTAATCGGCGGATTATTCTTGATTTTAGTGATTGGTTTCTTGATTTTCCGGCAACGAATGAGGGTGAGAGACTCCGATGCAAGTGTGGTCAAGTCATCGTGGATCCAATTTTCAATTTCGCACACGTCAAAGTCCACGAAGACTAACGCTTCAACGTTACCGTCTATTCTCTACCAACAATTCTCACTAGCAGAACTCAAATCTGCTACGCTCGACTTCAAAAAGGATTTTGTGATTGGCACTAGAGGATTTGGTTATGTGTACAAAGGGTACATCGATAACGACACATCCATTATTGCGATCAAGCGGCTGCAACCATCATCAAGCCAAGGGGCCCGTGAGTTTCGAACGGAGATCGAAATGCTATCCAAGTTACGCCACCGCCATCTAGTGGCTCTGATCGGTTATTGCGATGACAATGGTGAGATGATCTTGGTGTATGATTACATGGCCAATGGTACCCTCCGTGATCATCTCTACAATCAGACAATCCGCCTCTCTTGTGGAAGCAACACCTCGAGATCTGCATCGATGCTACACATGGGCTCCATTACCTCCATACAAGAGCGAAGCACATGATCATTCACCGCAACGTCAAGTCTACCAACATACTATTGGATGAAAAATGGGAGGCCAAATTTTGAGACTTTGGATTGTCGAAAATTGGCCCCACTAATGTAGCCCAGAGTCACGTTAGCACTGTAGTAAATGGTAGTTTCAGGTACATGGATCCAGAATATTATCGACGACAACAATTGACTGAAAAGTCTGATGTGTACTCTTTCGGAGTAGTGTTATTGGAAGTGTTGTGTGAGAGGCCCGCAATTGTGACAGGGCTAGAAAAGGAGCAAGTGAGCTTGGCTGGGGCCGGAAATGTTGGTGAGAAGGGACCATTGATCAGATTGTGGATCCAGATCTGACGAGTCAGATTGTGCCGGACTATGTAAAGAAGTTTGGGGAGATATTCGAAAGCTGCCTGCGTGATACTGGGATCGAACGGCCAACAACGGGTGATATGATTTGGAGGCTGGAATTTGCATTGCAGTTTCAAGAGATTGCCAAGAGGAACATCAATGGTGAAGATGGGTTTATGAGTCCCTCGGATCCTCTGCTTCAGGCGAGAAAGACAACGACCGATGATGACGATGATATGTTGTTTTTGGGGTCACAGAGCAACGGGACCAGGACATCAACGACTGAGAGTGGTGCAAGGAGTGGAAACAGTTTTGGTTCTCATCAGACTGTTGTTTTCTTTGAAATTATGAATCCAAATGGACAGTGAGATCAACTTCAATATATGTGGGGGCTAAGATTTTTGGGCATATCAAAAATTAAGATGGATTAGCGCAAGATAGATTTGCAAAAGTTCCTAGTTTTATTTAGTTTTCTTTTAATCTGTAAAAGTTTGATATATTTTGGTTTTAATTCTACTAAATATTGTATTGCAATGAATAAATTTAGCCGTATGGCCTATCGATTGAAATTGATCTCTTGCTAGCTCATGAATGAGGCACTCCTTGCTAAACGAGATTTGAGTATTACTATTGTAAATGTAAATTTCCTTTATTTATTTCTCTCCTACCAATTCTTAAAAAATAAATAAATAAATAAATAAATTGAAATTACTCCAACAAAGCAATTAAACTAGACCAATTTTAAACATTAATTTAAAATTGGAAGATCAAAGTTGCTTTTACTTCAAGTTTTGCACGTCTCCTAGGCAAAAAATATGTTGTAAACAATGAAAAAAAGGCATCTAGGGATGATCAAACATGAAATCAATGAGAGAGAGAGAGTCTGAACTCATTTCCTAGTTCCTAGGGTCAACAGCTGAATTAATTGATCAAAAATCCAAATGAGAATGATCTGAGAGGAAGAAGCAAAAGGCACAGAAAAACCTATCTTAGGAATGCAGAAACAAAGCAACTCCGAGCCCTCAAAATGCCTTCCTGGAGGCTCTGTTCTTGCACTGTTATGTCCTCTTCTCTTTATCACCCTCCTGACAATCATAATCTTCACTTCCAGCGTTTCTTACCGTCATTTCATACACAACTCTGCCACCAACAACTCAGATTTCCAACCGGTTTACCTTATTCCCTTCACAACCAGATCTCTCATTTGCAGACCCAATTGGGAGTTCTGTTAGAACAGCTACATTCTGAAACCTCAGAACCAAAAGCAATACTGAAATTTTCAGATCAAGTTCTCACCATCGATATATCGATAGACAAGCTAGCAGAGACTCTATCAGGTTTGTACAGCAATGCTCCTAATAGCAGCAATGAATCGAGCATAGAGGAAGACCTCAGTGAACCTGAAGAAAGCAAAGTTGAAGAAGGATCAGTACCTGGAAAGGTTTTCAACTCTGCTGAGCTTCACAGTTACATTTCACCCAAACCAAACAGGATTAATGGGAAGAAGAATTTTCTTGGGCTGGAAGCGATTAACCCATCCATCGGACTAGGTTGTGTCGGTATGGCCTCAAACACAGACCGGTTCATGGCGTACAAGATGATTGGGACCTGGCTCAGAAGCTTGTAGTCAGTGGTTGTGAGCCAATACCCGAAGAAGGTGCTTCTCAAGATCACCTCAACACTACAACAAGCCGCTTCCTGTGAAAACCTCTCTCTGGACTCAACCTAGTGACGTCAACATTTTATGGAAGCACTACAAATGCAAAGACTATACCTGTCTTGTTTCAAATGAAACAATTGACAGAAGAGGCTTCTACAAATGCTATGATTGCTTCAATCTTTCAAGGCGAGGATGTGAAGTGCCAACCAATAAGTCTCTCTTGGCAGAGTTCACAATCGCTGAGGTTGAGTCTAAAGCCAGGGGAGATCCGCATTGGGCTGGATTTCGCCCCAACAACTGGCACATTTGCTGCAATTATGAGAGAGAAAAATGTTATCGTTGCTTCAGCCACGCTGAATTTAGGGGCATCTTTTAATGAGGTGATAGCACTGAGAGGACTTCTTCCTCTGTACGTCTCAGTTGGCTCGAGACTGCCTTTCTTTGACAACACACTTGACATTGTTCAATCTACTCCATTCTTGGATTGGATTGGATGGATTGATTGGAATTGAACTCCTTCAGTTTGTCCTGTTTGATTGGGACCGTGTGCTCCAGCCTAATGGTATTCTCTGGGTGGACTGGTTCTTTTGTAAGAAGGAATATATGAATCTTTACTTGAATGAGTTCACCAGACTTGGCTATCAAAAGCTGCAGTGGGGGGTGGTGCCGAAGACTAATAAAGATGGTGATGAGATGTTTTTCTCTGCTGTTCTGGAAAAACCAACAAGACGTTCTCACTAGTGTCTCTCCAGCCATACTCTCTGTAACTGAAGGTACACGAAAATATTTTCACATCCTAAGAAAGTTATTCGGGACTTTTATTTTCCTTCTCTTTTTCCTTCTAATTGGGAAGTTCTCATTTCAAGTGCTAACTAACTAATCTGCTAAAGTCTCTTGGTACCAAAACTTGTGAATGAACTGAGCGTCTATATTACAAGTAGGGAACCAGCATATCTTCATTTGTTCTACAGTCTCTCCCGCATTTAATACGTTAACATTGTATCAACCAATAATCATTATCCCGGGCGATGTAATCTATGAAACAGAAAACAACCAAAAGGGGAACACAACAGAGGAATATAAAATGAAATTCTATGATTTAAGAATACACAAATTACAGATACAAATCAGTTCAATTATAGCCCAAGAATGCAATAAGAAATGAGCTAAAAAGAATTATAGATTGATCTCACAAGGCCTTCCAGGAAATCAGGAAGTAATCCAGTTTTAATAGGTATGAAGGTCACTACCCAGTCAATTTAACAAGGGTTACAACTTGTTGACACTGTTTATCTATGTGGACGCCCGCGTAAGCATTCCTGTAAATACCGAGCAAAACTATCTTCTTTAACATGTGAAATCCCAGTTAACTGCAAACCAATTCTCTGTTGTTCAAGGGTAAATCTATTGATCTTTCACACACAAGCGTTCTGTACAAAAAAGAAGAATAAGCACAATTAATCAAATTGATTGAGCATGATTATAAGCAGAGAACAAAGGGTAACTCATAGGTTTAAACTTTCCAATCCAATAATTCACAATGATCAAATCCACAAATGTTTTAGCAATCTCATCATTCTGCATAATAATAACAACAACAAATATAATTCTATATAATAACAATGTGAAAGAAGAGTCCCTACTCAAATATTCATAGGAAAGTATCATCGAGGTTCCCCATGCTGACATAGTGAAAAACCTTGGACCGAGTCCTCTGTATAAACCTTTCCAGCCATCATCTGCAACCAATCCTTCAACAACTTCTCTTACGGTAAGTTTCTTTTCATGTCCCATGACCTATATTGCAAAAACAACTAGTTTAATGGATAAATCAACAAAAGAATCTATTTGCTCGAACATAGTAGTGCAAACAGCAAGCTGTAAAATCATGTGAAAACCCTGAGGTTTTTTCTGGAACACCTACCAATTGTATTAACAAGGAATTGAAACAGATGCACGAGTTGGGAATTTCTAATAATTTTGAATGTAACAATCTTAGAGTGTTAACTATTATGTGCATGACAATCGCTCTACTTTCTTTCACTAAAAAATGTGCAACTCACAGAACAACACATCATGAACAAAAAAAAAAAAAAAAAATGTGAAAAATTCACTGTCCTAATAGCACACAAAAATAAATAAATAATCAGTACTTCATCACAAAGTATCAGAACTGACAAGAGAAAGGAAAAAAATTGAAGCCAACTAGGTGTACCTGTAAGCGAGTCTTAATAGTGTCCAATGGCGTTGTGATGCAGGATGCCGTGGCACCAGCAAATATCCCTCCAGCAGCTTGAACAGACACTATCGTCCACAGGCTAGGAGCAGATTCCTCATGCTCAGTAGTACCATGACCTAAGAACCTGCCAAAAAGAAAATCGTGCAGGAAAATTTTAAATTAAAAAAATATATATTATATCATGTGAATGGAGAACCAAAATGGATGATGCAAAATATATAATGCATTTAAAAATGACCCATTCCTCATTATGACGTAATCCAAGAAAGACACAACTTATATACCTAGACCACTCGAGTATTGCCTTCGCATAAAGGCAATATTACAGGAAAGTAAGAAATCTTCAGATCATTAGGTGTAGTGAACACTAGTTGCGGACAGACATCGCTTTCATTGAGGATAACCAACTCGGGGGTTTACAATAGAAAATTTTCTAAATTATAAAACAAAGTCCACAGAGGGGTTAAGAAGATTAACTAAACAAGGAACAATCACTTGTTGGACCAGAGTTCTAAATTTAATGATCTCCCACAACACATCAACCACTAAATCTAATTGAGCAAACATGCATTACCTCTTGTTCAAAAAAACCTGCATTACCCCCAGATCAAGCGTTGGCTTTGTAGACACCCCATTTTTGACCGACCTTAAGACTCAGACGTCACCGATTGAGCGCTAGGTGATGTTGCATAATTTGCTCGTTCAGAAGTTTCAGAGTCGCGGCCGTGAGCCCTGCCTCCGGACTTCCGAACCCTTTTCTGTGCCTTGTCTCGGTTTGCGAACCAGACTCGGTTTCCCGTTGCTTTCCTGAGGGAAGGGAGAGGTCTCGTAGACCGTCTCTCCAAATGTCCGTAGGCTACATTTGGTGCCGTAGGCCATTTGTGCCCATTTCGGAGTCCGGTTCCCGGTTTTCGAGGCCGTCAGGTGTGTGCCTCGGTTCGGGACCGCTTAACCATCTCCTGTTGCTCTGATTTTTGGCATACATCTTTTCATCCCTTTTGAGGGACACTGGGGCTGAGAAACCCACTTCGGAGGTGGCGAATACCATTTTCGGTGCTTAACAGCCCATTTTTCGGGACCCAGATGTGCGTCTTTTTGGACCCGGAACATTGTTTTGCAACGGTTTTCTTCATTTTTGGCAGGTACCCCTCTGTTTTATTTCACAGGGAAGGTCACTGAAGGGTGGGAGGCCAGCATTGTTTTGAACAACCAGTTATCTCTCTTCCGGAGCCTCCGCGCCCGTTTTTCGCACTTCCGGGGCTAATGTTGAATACCTTGGAGTGTAGTTGGTGCAACTTTCAACCACATATCTGTGATCTACAGCATCTGAAGGCCCCTAAAAGTTGGTGGCCGGCCATTAAGGTCACCTTGACCTTCTTTGACCCCTTCTTCCGGGGCTAATGTTTGAACCCCTTGGACCCTTTTTCTTTGAACTTTTGAACCAATATCTGTGATGTACACACCTGAGAGCCCTAAAAGGTTCATGCGGCCAGTAAGTCAACTTGGACCCTTTTGACCCCTCTTTTCCGAGCCATTGTTGAACCCCTTGGGCCCACTTTCTTGAATTTCAACTACAGGTTGTGTTGTACACATATAGAGGTACCTCTCCAATAGCTGGCCGGCCAGAAAATCACCTTGACCCTTGGACCCCTAGCCGGCCGGCTAGGGGTGTGGCCGGCCGGCCACCTCCAGCAAAAGTAATGGGCGGCCGTGTTCTTTGCACTGTGCCCACTTTACAGCTGTGGGGGCAATGTCCCCCAGATATTTTCTGTATCCGGGGATATTTTGTGGGGGAGTTTTACCCTCCTTCTCCCCCACCTTTACACCCACATTTTGAACCCTTTAACCAGCTGGTGGCCTTCTTTTGTAAGGTTAGAAAAACTCTCCTTCAAAGCTCCATAGCCAACTCCATCTTCTTCCCTCTCATTCTTCAAAAAAACCTAAGTCCCTAACCTTCATTCTTCTACACCACCGCTCTACCACCACCACCTCACCTCCGCAGCAAAGGAAGGTTTCTAGAAGGCAAAAGAAGCTGCAAATCCATCGCCAAGAAGCAACAAAGCTTGAATCTTCAAGGGTAGGTTACACTTTTAACCTTTTGAACCTTTTTCTTGATCTATTTCTAAACCCCACTTCTTTTTGGTTTCAAGCTCCGGCCCTAACTGAAAAGGGCCATATTTTGAGCTCATCTTCACTTCTCATTAAGGGCTCAACCTTGTTTGAGCCCTCCATAATATACTTGCTTTCATTGATCACTTGTATGTCATGATTTTGCATGCTATCTTTTTGCCCATGAGCAATCTGTTTTTGAGCATGTTTAAAACTGATATAAGGCTTATTTTGAGCCCCTCTTCAACATTGGAGAAGGGCTTAACATTGTTTGGTGTTTCCATGTGTCACTTGTAGTTTATATCCCCTAATTTGGCCCATTTTGCATAAATTGATAGCCTCTTTGCTTTGTTTTTGGCTCTTGTGTCCGGACTAAAGTGGCTTATTTTGGCCTATACTTCATGTTTCTTCACACTTTTTTTCTGTTTGGTGAATATTTTATATACTTCATGTTATAGCACCTTTTGAGCCTTGTTTTGCATCACATTTTAGCATGTTTATATACTGATTTGAGGTCTGCCATATACTGTAAATGTTCATATTTTTGGTCCATCTTCAGTGTTGTAGAAGGAAATTTTTCAGTTTGAGTTTTTCTTATACCACTTGCTTCATTACCCCTCTTTTTGGCCCCTATTCTTGCATGCTATTTTCCTTACTTATACTTGCTGTTTGGCCATGTTTAATAACTGTGAAAGTGCATCTTTTGGAACTTTCAGCTTCTGTCTTTGCATTGCATGTCCAAATTGTGCATGTTTGGTTATTAGCTATAGGCCATTTCGGGTGCCTAATGTGCATTTCGGGACATTTTCTTGCATTTCATGTATTTCGCTTCATTTCGGGACTATTTCCCCCATATTTTAGTGCTGAAATTCCATTAGTATGCTTGCATATCACTTTTGCCATATTTCATCACATTTTAGCATGTCTCGGTTTGCGTGCCCGTGTGCACGCATTTCGAGGCACTTCATTTTCTGCCACCGGCATCCGATGTGAGTGTGGCGAGGGCTCTCTCATGTTGGTATAAGCCCATTTGTCTTTCCATGTCATTTCATCACAATCGTATCATTGCCTCGGTTTGCGTGCCGCGGGCACGATTTCGAGACACATATCATTGCCTCGGTTGCGTCCCGCGTTACGTACTTCGAGAAACAATATCATGCCTCGGTTTGCGTGCCGGTGCACGAGCTTCGAGACACATTCATTGCCTCGGTGCGTGCCGTGCACGTATTCGCAATCATGCCTCGGTGTGGTGCACGTACTTCGAGACACATATCATCGCTCGGTTTGCGTGCTTGCACGCATTTCGAGACACATATCATCCTCGTTTGCGTGCCTGCGTGAGACTCAGACCATTCCGCTCGGTTTGCGTGCCTCTGCGCATTTTCGAGATTTACTCGGGGTGTCGCCATTCGAAGGCATATCATTTTCATTGCATTCGTGCATTTTCTCGGTTTGCGTGCCTGCGTGCACGCATTCCGAGGCATTTTTCCATAACATTGAGTATGTTAGGATTATATCTTAGTTGCATTTCATGCATATCATGCATATTGCATCGTGTTCGGATAGGAGTTAGCCGGGCACGGGAAACGAGGTACATTTCGTACTCCGAGTGACGGAATTGTCTCAATTCCCCAGTCACCGACACTCCGGATTATCCATGAGGAGTTAGGTTTTAGCTGTAGTTTTCATGTGCATTCATCCTATATTGAGTTGTGCATTTCGACTCCTCGACCATCATGCTTCGGTATGCGTGATTTGTGGCACGAGGATCGAGACATGCATATATCTGTGCAAATACATTGCTATGCCCTTTCCTCCTCTGTTGCAGCAAAACCAGGAATCAGCAACCTTTTGGGGCTTGGCACGCATTTCAAGAACGGTGTAAACAGAGGCTAATTGGGGCATTCCGGTGGATTTCCGCGCCAAGACAATCCGGACATGCATCATCCATCAGAAGCAAGACAGTCCCTGGCTTGCATGCCAGTTTTATTTTGCTCTTCATAGTTAATTCATTAATTAATTAGAATTTTGTAATATTTTGGACTGTAATATTCTTTTATTGGGGACTGTATATTTGGACTGTATTATTTATTTGACCCACCGAGTGAGGGCACAACTGTAATAGAGTGTGGGTGAGTGTGATGTTATGTCTCTCCACCCACGTCTTTCTCCCTTTTATTTACCTGCTTATGATGGTTAGATTAGGGCATGTTTAAATTAGCATACATATTGACAGCATGTTTGCATCTCTCATTGTATTGCATGCATCGGGCTCGGCGCATCATAGCTAACTGCATTTACTTTCAATTCCAAGTTGATACTGTTAGTTGTAGCATTTCATATGCCATCTTAGAATAGCGAGCTACTATAGTTGCATTTTGGCATGTGTTGCATTAAGCATTTTTGATACTTAGGATCATGCATGATTTCTAATGTAGTTTCTGTTTTTGGCTTGGAGTACTCGGTAAGTTTTTATGCTTTAGTGGAGGCACTACCGTGTGAGTGAATGCCATGATAGCATGCTTACCATGAGGCTATATGCTTATGTGATATATCTGCCTGAATGCCTGTGGGTGAAGGTTGGGTTATCTGAATTGGAATGAATCATCAAAATGTTTCAAGCCTACCTGCGGGTAGCAAACCATTTTCAAAAAACAAGCATGAAATGTTTCATTCAAATTTGGGCGACCCAGTCTATATTTATATGTTGTGAGCATCGCATAGTAACCTAGGCTAATAACCGGAATAAGAACTCACAATGTTTTCCAAAAATTGATATCATGGTTAGTAGAGGCCGGTCTATGACCGGGCGAGCGGGGGTGCTCACGAAGTGACCTTCCCCAATCGTACCCAAGTTCCCGAGCCGAGGCAACTTTGGTGATGACGGACACGTGGCCTTTTGGCACCGAGTCAGGGTTTCCTAAATTTCCCAAAATAAAATATTTAGGTGGCGACTCTGTATCTGGCAAAGCAGTCCATGTTTGGCACTACTTTTTCAAAAATCTATTTCTCAAAACGATTTGCCAGATTTGGACTCTTTGGTTTAGATTAGGAACCGTGACTGACACAAAGTCGAGTCCGAGCTGTAGCGAGGTCCCCCGCGGGCTTGTTACAGGCTTGAACCATAACTTGCCCACCATACAGCACTAGATGGGGAATAAGTCATGACTGATAGACCAAACCCCCTGTATAGTCCCCGAATGCCATCCACCTTCAAAACCTTGCGAGGAACATCTAGTCCCCCATTATAGGTCGCATGGCCTGAGTATCCTTGCACCATCAATTTTTGGCTAACCTGATCAAAATGGAGATTGTAGCATCCATAAATGTTCTTAAGCAGAAACAATAATACACCAAAAGTAAAATAAAAAGTGCCCAATGACTTAGTATCAAGAAGGAACAAAATGTTAAAAAATGCATTCCAATATAAAGATGCTCTTTCCCATTGAAAATTGTCCAATTTTGGAGTTAATTCAACTTAGACCACAACTTATAGTGAAATTGGGAAGAAAATAAGTGTAAATCACTTCAAGTGAAAGGAATTTCCAAAATACAGATATCTGCCTTCCAAGTATGACATGAAAATTCTCAGTAGGAAGCCGATGAGAACTTGAACTAAATGTTGTTATGCCTAAAAAAATTTAAAAATTCTATTGCACCCTTTTGTGTTTCATTTTCTTTATTTACACACCACACCCAACAGATGATAACTTTCACATTATACGAAAGATAAAAAATAAATCTCAAATAAGAACATGGTTGACGTACCACATCAATCGGAACAAATACGGCCTGAGAACAAACTGCTGCTGCCATGCCGGCAACTCCATTTGCTATGGCTGCCTGTGTCGGTTTGGACAATTTGAATGGCTCAACCAACCTGAAAGTAGCTGCTTTTGTGGTCTCTAAAGCAGTAAGGAATATAATCCTAGTAGGAATGGCACCAGTGACGACTGTGCCAAAACCTCTGTATAATCCAGGAATTCCATCAGTTCTCAATATGCCTCTGATAATAGAAAATGCACCCCTCTCACCAGCATCCTTGGAAGCAACCTGTAACCTGGTCTTTATGAGAGAAACAGGATACAGAGCTACTGTAACCCCAGTAAATATCCCAGCTCCTACGACAAAAAACTTAGTTTTTTCAAGCCTGCAGGATAGGTTAGTTATGCAAAAAAAAAAAAAAAAGAGTCCATGTACAAGAGAGCTTAAGAAAAGAGCAGGAAATCTCTTTGAAAAGAAAATTTAAATAAGAGTAAACCAACAATGGCAAAAATGACAACAACAAAAAAACAGGCATGACAGAAATCATGGGGGACTAAGAGCATCTGCAAACCTTCACTGCTTTTTTCATCTAATTTGATAACTACTCCAACTCTTCATCAAATTTTCATCAAAATCTTTTTAAAGATTCCCCCCTATTATCCCAAATTTCACTTTTCATCAAATTTTATAATATAAAAAAATCATCTCCAATGCTTTATATTTTTAAATTTTCGTCAAATTCAAGTTTGTTGAAGGATTTGATGAATTCTCAAGTTGATGAAAAAATGTTTCTCCCTTGATTTGATAAACATTTGATGAAAGAATTGGATATGATTTTGAGCACTTTTTCATCAAATTCAAATTTGAAGAAAAAAAATGATTAAAGATTGGAAATGCTCTTAATTACAATTTTTATGTACATGTGATGTGATGGCATCACCTGATTTTTTGTCCCTTAAAAAGAAAAGGAAATGCTGGCAAGGATAAAAGGTCGTCTCTAGAAAAAAAAGTCATTTATAGAAACACAAACTCAAACAACTCCCTGTGAATTAATTCTGGTCTCTCGATAATTATCATTAACACACTTGCTATAAATAAATAAATAAAAAATTTAAAAACTCAGATCACTATCAACAACATTTTTATACTGATAATCAACAGATAAAGAAGATTAAATTGAAATGAAGTAAATGAGCAAATGCAAAAGAAGAAGCACATATAAATCCCCCAATAACCAGAATTACTATCGGATTTATTGAATAACACAATAATGTAGAAACTGGTGAAAAGGGAAGAGAAAACCTACTTGTCCCAATTAATCTCTGTATGACCGAATGACTGAATCTGAGAACGAGAAGCATCCATTGAAGCGTCTGTACGAATCGCAAATCGAAAAAGAAAATCTCAAAAACCCTAATTACAAATCCCAAAATGCTTCTCAGAGATCGATCGTTTCCTGAAGAACCAAAAACAAACTTAAAAACAGTTCTTTTAACGGTTTTGAAAAACTTGTTGTCAAATCATATTATTCTTGTTCATCATCTTTTTGTGCTTCTCTTTCATCTTTGACGTTTACACGTTTTCCACCATTCATGAAGTTTTACACACGTTTTTTTGACCGCTTTTGACAATTTGCAAATATGTTTAAAATATACAAATTTTATATTACGCTTCGGAAAATATTTAAACGTAAAATCAATTCAAACAAAACATCTTTCAAGGTTGAACATGAACACCTTTTTAAAATTTATTTATATTTTTAAATTAGGAGACAAGTTGTGCTTCTGGACATTTTGAAAGAATAATTAGTCAAATTAATTTTGTAGGAGCTAATTCAACTTTTGAACGCTATTGAGATTTTTTTTTTTTTTTGAATAGTACTTTTAAAAAAGGTTGACTTTTTGGATGTTGCCAGAACAGGAGTAACTGTTGCCACATAAAGGTACAACTACCTTATGCATAATAACAGCCACAACTGCTCAAGCAATGAGCCAATAACAGAATGGGCCTACTCTGTTCCGGAGGTAATCAGAAACTTTTGCTCTTCTAATGACAAAACCATAGGTTCTGACTGGGGAAATACAATTCTCTTTCAACATTCCATTCATTGTAACTACTAGTGGTAAATTGTGCTATGCACGAGATTGGCTTAATAATATGTAAATTTTTTAATAACGTATTAATTTCTAAATTTACTCATAAAATTATAATCATAATGCATAGAGATCATTTTTTCAAATTTCTTAACGGAAGGCAATATTTCAAAGCAAATATTCATAAAATATTCAAAGCAATTCTCTTTCAACATTCCATTCATTGTAACCATTCATAGTTGTCGTTTGGCAATAAATTTTTTATTTAATTTTTTTAATTTTTTGATTATTTTAATTTGAAATTTTTTAACTTCTAAAAAAGAAAAAGTGAAATGATAGTAAAAAGCCCATTGCGAAACGAATAGGTGCATAACATATGAGATGGTTAAGTTCATACATTCATTGTGTTTAAAGGGACTTACGTGTAAATCCAATAGGTCCATAATAATTAATGACATTGTTTTATCAAACACTATTAAAAAATATAATTAATTGTTAGTTTTCAGCAATAGCTTACAAATTTTATCACAAAAAATGTTACTAATTATAATTTTGGTGACAGTTTAAAAAAATATCACAAAATAAGTAATTAATTTTCAACTTTCAATGACAGTTGAAAAATTCATCACAGAAAAATATCACTAATTGTAAGTTTTAGTAACAAGTTATTAAAATCGAGATAAAAAAAAGTCATTAATTATTAATTTTTAGCGATATATGTCAAAAATCGTCGCAAAAAAATATTTTTAACAATGATTTTACTAAAACTTATTTTTAATAAGATTTGATAAGAATTAAGTCTAACTATTAAGACTTATTGGTTTGATAGCAGTGACAAACTCTTCCTATCAGTGTCTATATATGTTGGGGCAAGCTTAAGTATGAGCTGTAGATCTGCCTTTTTTCTTTTCTTTTTTTTGAACTAAGCTGTAGATCTGCTTGACTATATATATATTTTGTATTGTGTTTATTCATAGAGATTTTTCAGGCACCTTGCAAATTATTCTTGTGTGTGAGTGTAGAAGATGGCTCTTCGGATACAGGTGCTTTTCCTAACCACTTAATATTCTAAATGCTGTGAAATGTAAATTAGTTCTGCACATGTTGATATGTTAGAAAAGCCTTTTACACTGGAGGAAATTTGTCAGGCTGTGTTTCAAATGGGTAAGTTTAAGGCGCCAGGTTCGGATGACTTTGGGAGTGTTTGGTAGGTTTTTTTGAGCCAACTTATGGTTTCTGGCTTTTAAAATGTTATTTTGGACTGTTTGGTTAAACTTATTTCAAACAACTTCTGATTCTAACAATTTTTTTAAGTCAAAAAAACTGATTCTGAGAAGCTGCTCACCCTTGCTTCTGATTATCAGTTTCTGCTGTTGACATATTAATTCACGGTTATACTCTTAGGTTTTTTTATTTTTTATTTTTTTAAAAATAGAAAAAGACCCAAATGGAATATAGAATATTATTATTATTTTTTATGAGAAATGCAGACAAATAGTAAATAATAAAAATTAAAAGTTAATTGAAAAAACTATTTCACAGCTTATTTAACAAACACTAGTCAGCAACTTAAATCTATAAATTATAATCTAACAGTTACACCAAACAGATTAACATCTTCTGATTAAAGTCATAATTTATAATCTGCTAAGTTATAATTTATAATCTGTTTTAACAGCTACACCAAACAGGACCTTTGTTGCGAGTTTTTATCAAAAATATTGGGTAGAGGTGGGCAAGTTGGTTAGTGATTCCGTGCTCAGCTTTCTCAATTCGGGGTACTTGCTTAAGAACATCAATGCTACTCTTATATGCATAATCCCTATAAAGAAGAGTCCCCTTACAGTAAATCATTATCGACCAATTAGTCTTTGTGATGTTTTGTATAAAATAGGAGCTAAAGTGTTGGCTAATAGGTTAAGAGAGATATTGCCAGAGGTGATTTCAGTCAATCAAAGTGCGTTTTTGAAGGGACGGTTAATTTCAGATAATATTCTTTTAGCACATGAGCTTGCGGAATTTATTAGGGAAAAAAGGATAGGAAGGAATGTTGTTTTTGGATTGAAATTGGATATGAATAAAGCCTATGATAGAGTTAGTTGGGATTTTTTGGTAGCAATTATGGGTGAATTGGGGTTTCCTCAGAAATGGGTGCAGCTGGTTTCACAATGTATTTCAACGGTCTCTTTTTCGGTTTTGTTTAATGGGACTCAATCTGAATTTTTCCATTCGAATGTTGGTCTAAGACAGGGTGACCCACTATCACCCTATCTAATTTTGTTGGTTATGCAAGGATTATCAGTTTTGAGCATCTGTCAAATCAAGGTATTTGTAGGGACATTGCCATTAGCAAGAAATCCCCCCTATATCCCACTTGTTATTTGCTGAGGATTGTTTCATTCTTCAAAATTTTGAAATGTCGGAAGTTTGGTGTCTAAAATGGTTTTTGAGTGCTTTTTGTTCGCAATCAGGTTTGCTCATTAATTTCCAAAAATCGGAACTTTATTCCAGCCCAAATTTATCCATCAATGCAAGCTGGAGGTCATGTTGGGTGTTAAAAAAGTGGATAAACCAGGTATTTATGTTGGCACAAATCTGGGTTTTTCTAGTAGATTGAAAGGGGAAATTTTTAATACTATTCTTGACAAAACTCGGGGTAAGTTAAAAGGATGGAAATGTGAATTGTTGAACTTTGCTGGAAGGGGGAAGATTTTTTTAATTCTATTCCAGTTTATTTAATGCCGGTTTCTTTTTTGGAAAAGTTGACAGGCATTATTAGGAATTTCTTATGGAATTCAAACCGGGACAAAGGTGTTAGTTGGAAGAAGTGGACCCATGTGTGTTTACCAAAATAATGGGGTGGATTGGAGTTTAGAGATCTTAGGTGTTTTAATCAAGCTTTACTAGCTAAACAAGCATAGAGACTGCTGTCTAATTCGAATATGTTGCTATCTCAAGTTCGATTAGGAAAATATTGCCCTAGTCAATCCTTTTTGCTTGCTAAGAAGGCCAACAATGCTTCGTGAGGATGGAGTAGTCTTTTGTGGGGTAGGGATCTCCTAAATTTGGGCATCCATTGGGTTGTGGGGAATGGTAAACAGATTATGCCTTTTGAGGATCAATGGATACTGGTGGTATCTAATCCATTGAAGGGAAGGGATATCAATAGGCTATTGCCTAGAATGACAGCAGAGCACTCTATAGATAATGAGCAGAAATGTTGGAAAGAATCTCTGGTTATACTTTTTTTCCTTGAAGATTGTATTAAACACATTCTCACAATTCATATTCTGACATATCTTTGTGAGGATAAAATAATTTGGAGTCCTCTTAAGAGCGGGGAATATTCGGTTAAGTCTGGGTACAAACAAGCATTGATTAGATATTACCTGATGTTTGGACAGACAGATCCTGATCAATTGGTGTGGAAAAAGTTGTGGCAATTAAGGTTGCCTTCTAAATGGGCTTTATTTATTTGGAAGTGTCTCCATAGAATCCTTTCAGTACAGTGGGAGTTAAGAAGGCGAGGCATGGAAGTCGATATGTTTGTGCTTGTTGTAACAACAACAATGAAACCCTTGAACATGTGTTTTTCGATTGTTGTTTTTCACAAAGGGTATGGAGGGGATCCATGTTGGGACTAGATTTTAGCATAGGATCACCTATATCTTTTTTTAGGTGGTTCAAGGATTGGGTGGATCAGGTCAAGGATGAAAAAATTATTCTTCAATCTGTTGCGGATCGGGAGCACACCAGGGAACTCAAACAAGCAATAACACACAAGATTTAACGTGGTTCGGCATGTCGCCTACGTCCACGGGCAGCGGATTCACTATATTGAACAAAATGGTAAGAATTACAACACTCTCTGTAATTCTCTCTCTCCCTTTGCTCTCTAAGCTCACACCTCTCTGTTATCTCAGCTGTACCTCTCAACTCTCCTTAGCTTCTCTATATATAGAGATTACAAATGCAAGAGAAAGTCTTTGAAATGAGCTGGCTGCCAGCCCATTCCATGCCCATTGTTGTGCTTTCGGTGGCTGGCTTCTCATGGCCTCATGGCCAACTCACATGGCCTCATGGCTTCCCCACCATGTAGCTGGCTGCCACTTTCCATCACATGGCCAGAATCTGTAGCCAATATTCAACAAATCTCCACCTTGGCGAGGATTCTCTTATCCAACATAGTGATCGATCAACGCTGCCATACACCCGAAGGTGCTCAGTTCCGAGAGATGTTGACCAAGTCCAAACAATGGGAGCCTCTGGATCTTCATTTTCATCTGAACTCTCTTCAGAGCTATCCTCTGAGACTTCTTCAGGATGGTTGATTGGCTGACTAGTCTTTGTTGGAGTCTCAAACTCCACCTGCACTGACTTCTTCAATGCTTCCTCATTCTGTTGAGGATCTGATTGCTTCAGCATTACAGACTCATTAAAGGTAACGTCTCTTCTGATGAGAACTTTTTTTGATTCAGGGCACCACAGTCTGTATCCCTTGACACCGTCACCGAAGCCCAATAAGATGGCTTTCTTGGCTCTTGGATCCAACTTAGTTTCTGTAACATGAAAATATGCTGGACATCCAAAGATACGTAACTGGTCATAATCAGTAACTGGGACTCCTGACCATACCTCCATGGGAGTCTTCCCGACATGGTTGGTGGCCTTCCATTGTTGACATGAGGA